TAAATGTTTAATAGAAGGCTGTTCATTAATTACGTCAACAAAAATTATAAAAACCAGTAACTAAAAGAATTAAATCCATACAATCTTCCATACAACAATCAATTATATATACATAGTTACAGTTACAAACAGTAATAAACTGACAAAACGTAACTAATAACGATGACATAAAAACGATTATCGATAAAAGACTACAAAGGCTGAATAAATATAATAATTTTAGTTTTTATAATATAATAACAAAAATATATTGTGTGTATAATAAACAAATAAAGAAAAAAGTTCGATTTGTCTTTTTATGGAGTTTATTTATTTAATAAAATTCTTTCGAAATCTTTTATATTGAGTGAGTTTTGATGATTTAAGTTATAAACCATCCAGAATAAGGGGGTTTTACGGTATATAAACATTTTTATTTGCCCTCGTTTTATTATATAAATGAGTTTATTTCATTTTTAAATATTAAACATTTTTAATCCAAAAAAACGTTGTATAAAAAATTCCTTAAAATTAAAAATGCAAATGCGGGTTATAAAAATAAGTAAAACATATTTTGCAGATATGAAAATATTACAGCGCTGAGTTTCAGTATCTATTGTTTCTTAGTAAAACTAAATTTGCTTGAGAAGAATTTTCATTACCTAATTTTTTAATTTATTTCGTTCGTTTTTATGATGCCAAATTATTTCTTCAATTACACAAGTATTTGCGTTTATAAAAGATTCCATTGTTTCTGAACAATGTTTGTCCGAATGCCTTATAATAATTTTTTAGAATATAAACTTTACGCTACTTGCGACAGTAGTAAAAAATATCAATTAAACAAAATAACACAAAACTAAATATGAAAAAAATCACCAGTTTCTTCTCGGTTGACTTTCCCGTTCAAAAACAAAATCAAATTAAGTGCAAAAGAAACTCAAGAAATCAACATTACAACGTCAGATTTACCTTCAGCAGACAATTGCACCAACTACAGCTGCTAAGTTGCCGGACATTTGAGCCAAAAACAGAGTTTTCTTTCAAAAACAAGGGGCTCTATTTTTGGAAAAGTTTGGCAGCACAACCTGCCAAAAAGTGAAACCACTTGGCGTAAATGCCAAGATCGGAATGAACATATCAAAAGAATGGTCCAATTTTAAAGTGTCCTATTATGGCGAAGATAAAGAACAAGAGTTAAGTTTGATACGTAAGACAATATTCGGTCACAGAAAAAGAAGACTTCAAGGTTAAAGATAAGAAGCTAAAAAATAGACCCTTTCATAAAATATTTTTAAGTCTTACACGCGTTAGAAAATTGTTTCAGCAAACATTTTCAGAACTGCATAAAAAATTGCAAAAAAATATTTACGGGTAAAATTGTGAGTTATATTTGGCTCAAAAAAATTTCTTTTATTCAAGTTGAAAAACTGTTGTTTGTAGATTCCTCTTCATTGAAAGGAATAAATTCATCATGTTTAAGTTTACGAAAAACAGCTTTAGATGCCGGAGAGACAACAGCTCGGAAAAGAACTAGCATCTGTTTTGTTTTCTAAATTAGCATTTTAAGAACTCATCACTCTATTAATATCATGTATATATATATATATATATATATATATATATATATATATATATATATATATATATATATATATATATATATATATATATATATATATATATATATATATATATATATATATATATATATATATATATATATATATATATATGTATATATATATATATATATGTATATATATATATATATATGTATATATATATATATATATGTATATATATATATATATATATATATATATATATATATATATATATATATATATATATATATATATATATATATATATATATATATATATATATATATATATATAGAGAGAGAGAGAGAGAGAGAGAGAGAGAGAGAGAGAGAGATACAGACACGATCAAAGTTTGAAACTGTTTTTAATGTTTGCAGAAAATTTCAAATTTTTTTTTAAATATTTTTTATACATTCAAAAATTTGAGTAACTATATTATATTTATACCCATAAATATAATATAATTACTCAAATTTTTAAAACTTATGTTTTAAACTACTATATTTGTTTTAGTCATGGTTTTTTGTTATTTTAGCAAAAATTTAAAATAATAATTATAAATAGTACTATTAAGTTAACAACACCAAAACGTGCTCAGATTGGCATTCTACGTAAACAAGGATTGACATTGACTTCTGTTTCAATGTAACACATAAATCCACTAACAAAACATTGAAACAGTTTATGAATGGCGGTCTTAAAAGCCCGACCGGAATGCCCAAAAGTGGCTCAAAAATCAGATAACTGCATTCATAGTTATGCCAAAGCGACCAACATTCTCCAACTGAAACGCTTTTAAACCATTTTTTACTATTGATAGCTAAAACTAAAGCCTAAAAGCAATGTATAATATATCAATTCTAAATGGACTTTATTTTTAATTGTTAACTAAGATAACTCAACTCATTTTTTGTCGACTAGGATTTAGTTTTTGTTGGGAAGGGAGGTGTCACACCGCACGCACTTTCATTTCCGGACATAGTTAGACGCTTGCTTTACCAACGATGCCCCAATATTTGGTTTTGACTGCTTTGCCCTAAAATTATGATATGGAGTGCCATTAGATCCCAACAAAGTGGTAATTTATGGTTTATGCCTTAAAACACCACACTTTATGGCCACATTTACTTTGAAACGAATCAAACAAAAAACTTGAAATATTCATAAACGAAACAAATAGCCACAAGTACAGCATGATGGAGCACTCTTTTAGAAGACCAAGCTTGTAAGTAGTTGGTTATGTAAAAATTGCAATAAAATCATTTGCTCTTGGCCAGGATATTCAACCATTTTCTGTCCTATTGAAAGTTTCTATAGTTATCTTAAAAATGAAGTTCAGAATCTTAGACCCTCATCCTCCAACAATCTACAAAAGAAAATTAGGCAGAGTTAAACTTTTGACTTCTAAAAACTTGAGAAAACTTATTCACTCCATGCCTACCCTTTAAGGTAATTGCTTAAAAGCTACTCATAAAATGACACCATACCAAGTATAAAATTGAGAAAGCATTTACTAATATTTTAAAGTTACTATTTTTGTGAATTTTTATGATTACTTACATATTTTGATACAATAAATGAATAGTTCAACAAAAATTATGTTTTTTTTAAATAATGTTTCAAACCTTTGTTTGTGACTGTATATATAAAATAGTTATTAAGTATTAAAAAAAAACCTTTTTTTTTCCTTATTTACTTTCGTTATTAAGTAATAAAAAACAAAATAAACAATATAGTAATATAGTAATTTCTTTTGAGTTTAAAATTGACACATTCGTTTCCATTTCTTGTTTCGCAACTGCCCTCATCCTGATTCAGGCATAGCTCTATTAGCACGGATTTCTGACGCTGTATCTCAAACACCTCTTTCTCACTTTTGAAAAATATTCATATTTTCTTTAGAAATACTTTTACTGTTTTTTTCTCGATCAAAAAATAGTTTTACTATTTCATTTAAAAGTACTAGATTTTTGAATGCTATGCAAGCGGAATCTTCTATTCTGGTATGTTTTTTGTTTTTGCTTTTTATTTCTATTTTATATTTTTTGTTTTTGCTTTTTATTATTGCTTATTTTATACTTTCATTTAATAACGAAATCAGTTATACAAAACAATATTTATTTAATCAATAAAAAAAAGTTTTGTTTATATTTATATATGGAAAAGTTTTTTTTGGCCATTATTAGACACAACCTTGTTAATTTTGAAAATTGCATATGTGTAACTTTTTTTACGATATTTTAAAGAAACGTAGATAATTTTTTTATTTATAATATATGCAGTATAAGTTTGATAATAAATGGATTGACGTTTCGTTAAGAAATTTTGGTATACTCAAACCTATAATCTCTAACTATAATAATTATAGTTAGAGATTATATATATAATAACTATATATATAATCTCTAACTATAATTCAATGGTAATAATAAAACGGTTTTATTAAAATTAAGTCAAATTTTGTTTTCTTTAAATAAGTATTATTAAATAATTATTTAAAGTAACACAAATGTTTATACCAACATTTTAAAACAAACAAATTCATTTGTTATATTTAAATATTTTTTGTTTTGCTGATATAATTTCTTCAAAATGAAACAAAAATTTTGGTTCATTTTGAAGAATTTATATAAGCAAAATAAAAATATTTGTTTTGATAAAATGTTTATTATAGATTTATATATATATTTTTTTTAATTTAAACATTTTAAAAAATATTTATTTTAAATAAATTTTAACATCAGAATGACAATTGTGGGTAGACCGCGAACTTTTTTGGATATCATATGATTTCCAAAAGTTCGCATACTAATGATCATTATTGATGTGATCATCAAATTTTATCAAATATGAAAAATGAATATTGATCATTATTTTATTGGTAGCTGATGATGTAATGTATATAAACTGTGATAATGACCAAACCCTAGGCCGGGTGAATAAAATTGAAAGCAATTGTTATTACTCAGTGTTTTTAAAATGATTGTTCAGTTTTACATAAATAAAAACTTTAGCAAACTCGCTAAACTTTTATTCACATAAAGCTAAGCAATTTACTCCAAAAACGCCGAGTAATCGTTCAGCTTTACGTGAATAAAAGTTGGAGCAAAACTCGTGAAGTTTTCATTTACGTAAAGCTGAATAATTACTAAAAGCAATTGCTTTTTTTTATTCACCCGGCCTCCTGCCTCAATCAAATTCCCTGTCGGTGTTACCTATCGGTTTTACCTATCCCAATAGTCAGCCAGTGTATCAACGCTTAATAATATATAAAATATTGATTAACTTTATTCCTATTTAACTTAACGAAGTATTTGGTTCTTAAAATTTGATGTTTTAAAACGTGGAATTTTTACATTTTTGCTATTTTGGAGTTTACAGCTTGCATTTGACAACTCAGATAAAAATCAACGCTTAGTATCAAAATTAAAATTTTTTCTTTTCGTCAAAATTTCAAACGTACGTTGAAACGTTTCAAATACGTTTCAAACTAAAGTTTTACGTCTACGTATGCCAGCCTTGATTATTGTCTAGAGAGCTGTTAATTTTTTTTTTAGCTAACAGTTAGCGCAAAACTAAGCCATCGCACTGTTATTACTTTTAAAATTCTGAAAAATCTTCTAACATCCTCGGTGTAAAGAGTCTATATAAGAATATCTGATTTTTAAGTTTAAAACCAAGTTCTTTTATTATATTTTATTTAGTTTTCATTTGAAAACTAGATGAACTTATAATAGACAACCATTTATCTTTTGTGATTATGCTGACTGCTTTTTTGCCATAAATATCAACCTGAACAATATTTTCTTGAAACGTTTTTCCGTAAAGCAAGTTTGTTATAACATTGTAACCAATAATTTCCAACACGTTAATTGGAAAATCTAAAAAAAAAATTGAAACGTCGGATTTCAAAAATTAAAGGCATAGTTTGTTAAGCAACTGTTGTATGAAAAATTTAAAAAGTAAGCTGTATTTCTTAACTTACACATTACTTTGCCAGTACTTTTTTCAAGTTGGAAGCATGGACTTTGCTGCCTAAACAAAAAAACAAAACAAAAATGATTTACATAAACCTTAGCTTACCTTAGAATCTATAAGTGTTTTTTTTTAATCATATTTTGTTTCAAGTATTACAATATTTTGTTCGGATTACAAATGCTACATAATTTAACGTAAAAATAAGCCTTTAAAAAATTTTTATTCTCTCACTCATATATAAGATCTTAGCTAAATGCTCTACGCGATTTTTTTTTTTTTTCAAAAATAGAATAAAAATATGCTTTTTATTTTACGGCGACGAAAAATTATGTAAATTGCACACTATTAAACAAAAGATGATTTTGTGATTTTTTTTTTTTTTCGTACTCTTCTCTGCTGCTTTACAAATTATGAATAAGTTATTGTAAAAATTAATAAACTAAACAAAGAAATAAATCCTTTAACAATATAATTTATCTACCGTGTTTACCAAAATTTATATAACTCCTTTTTTTAAATGAAAATAATAAACGAAGTGTCCACTGGCACGTTTCGTGCAAAAAAATAATTTGTTTATTCGCACGTTTGTGTCTCCTTAAAAAAAAAATAATGGTCCTTAATTCCTAAGATATTTTAGGACTTTCAGATTGTGGTTGGAGGAGGGGGGAATGCATATCCCCCTCCCACCTCCTTGATCCGTCACTAAATAGACTAATCTATATATTTAAAAAAAAAGTCAAAACAGCTAGTTTTATTAAAAATTGAAAAAACTTTTTTTTTTTCAATTGACTGTTAAAGTCAAAAGTAGGGGAGAAAGGGGGCAGGTTTGAAAAAATGAAATTGTGAAGCGTTTGTGAGTTTATACATATTATAATTAAATATTTTGTGAAAATACTATTTACGCTCATAACTGTCACTTGTCTTTCCAGAAATTCGATTCAAACTAAACAATTTATGTGACTGGTTTGCTTATGAGGACAAATCGTAAACATTTTAAGCGAGTAGCAAGTTTTATGTTATTTATAAGGTAAGTCATAACCTTTACAATTATGCAGAAAATATCAAAAATTGAGGTTGTCTTGATTGAAAAAATAATTTTTTGTTAATAATGATTCTGTGGGGGCAGTCTTGAACAATATGAATGGGAAACTTGATCTGTTTTTTTAGATTTTCCGCACTATTAAAATTTTATTATTACGGCTTATTTTCTGATTTAAAGTTTAAAAAGTTTGAAACTCTCAGAAAAAGAGAGAAACAGAAATTATAGAGAAAGATATTATCTTTAATTAAAAACTAAAGAGGAAGATACTAACAACGCTGTTCTCTAAGTTGTGATAAGTCTAAGATTCTTACTGGAAAAAGTGGCAAACCTAAGATTCTCACTGACACTTCAGAGAGAGAAAAAAAAAAGAAATAAAAAAAAAGTAATATTTTTTACAAAAGACAAAACTTGAAAAGATTAATAGAACTCTATAACAAGAAACTTCCAAAATCAAACTAACACGATACTTTAATCTATGTTGAATTGAATTAACTTGAGTTATTTTGATTTTCATCACAGTATATTTGGTAAAATATCAACTTTTAAATTTATAAACGTTCTCATAAACATTATTGAAATTTTTTTATTTTATTTTAAGTTAAAAGTTGATATTTTTAATAGCTTTAATAGTTCTCATAAGTCTTGTTTGTTTTATTTTTTAAAGTGATTATAACATTAGACTATATTCGAAAAAAAGATCTAATTGTTATCAATAAAAGTTAAACTTAATGAAGTTAAAAAATATAGTAATCTTTTTTATTTTCACCTTCTTATATCTTAAACTTCATATCTTAAACTTAAGTTGTTATCATTCGCTGGTAATTATTCAAAGCAGCCTCAGGTAGATTCAAGGCTACCCCTGCTGCTGCTGGGGCAGCTTTGAACATTTTTATGTACGTTAAAAACGTAAGATTACTGACTATATTTTTAGCTTGATTCCTTTATCATTGTTTTCACTATTTAAAAAAAAAGTGGTTAAAATGAATAAAATATTGATTTATAAAAAAAGAAATTTAAATGTTTAAAGCTGCCCCATTCTCCCTATTTCAAAAATAATTATTAGAATATAATAATCATTTTTAAACTTAGAGTGCGAATAGACTATGTTAATATATAGTCTATTTTGAGCTATAAGATATAGTCCACATTTTAAAGTACCTCTCTGTGTTTGAATAGTACGTCGTTCTACTACTATATAAGTTACATATTTTGATTGTTCACCGATGCTACTTAAAATTTTTTTCAACTTGTGCAAATATGCGTCCAACATAAAACTATCATAAAAATTCCAAGTGTTTGGCGCACATTTGTAACTAGTGAGAAGGACTCAATGATTCTGAACGTTTTAAATGAAAAACGTATTACCTTGAATTAGTGACTTGCCATTTTTGTCGCAAAAAGCCGCTGGATTTATATCGTGATGCCGAATACGAAGAACTACAATTGGTATGTTAAAATTCCGAAAGTTTTTCTGAATTAGATGTATACCATATTGAATATGTTGTAAGCTAAGCCAAGTCTTAGAATATAGATCAAGTATGATATTTTCGTCAAGTTTTATTGGTTTATCAAAATGAACTGTGTTCAAATATTCAATTGAAAAACTTTCACACTCTGACTCAATTTTTACTTGTTTTGATTTTAAACAAAAATCCTCTGAACTTGAAGTGATCAATTTTTTTTTTTTAGTGCCGTTTTAACGGTTTTTACTAATAATCTAAGCAGTTTTGCCGCTTTTATATTAGTATCTTTTTATTATTAAATCGGATTTGCTGAAAGGTTTTCTTCTTATTCGAGGAAGATCTTTTGGATTATTCACCCGCCGTATAATCAAAAGTCAGACCCTTTTTGACGCCATCTGATAACTTTTTGACATCAATTGGTTTTTTGGCATGGATTAGGTTCTTAGATCAAATTCAGCTAACTATTTTTCGTAACAATCGTAATCAAGAATGTGACAAAAAATAAATTAAAACAATTGAACTCGTCGTAGACGCATGTGACATGGCTTTAGTGGACCAGCTTTGAAGCATCGATATTATTGTAACAAAAAAGTAATTGGTTTTATTGTCCGAGGTGTTACAAACACGTGTTATTGAATAATTGACTGTCTTGCATATCGTCCATTGCTCAATAACAAGATTAATGACTTTTGAATTTAGTAAACTGTCTAACGAACCAAGAAAATTATCCATTTGGTAGGCCTGGGGCCAAATATAAAACGCCGTTTTTTAAAAACTCGTTCTTTAAAATGCATTTTTATTGACATGCGAGCTCCCAGTTTTTTGAAGCTTTTCATAAGTTCATTGACATGTGAAACATTTTCAGAGCTTCTTTTATTTCCCAGAAATCCTTTAATTACTGTGCTGAACGCTCGCCATGCATCTCGTATAATTCCAACCATTTTGATATCAAAATCTTTGTCTTTTAACAGAGTTCTAATTTTGAGTCCATCAAATATACCTGCATGTAGCTTGGCATCACTAATCTAAGGGAACTTTTGATATAGATACTTAAAAGATTGGCCTTCTTTATTCAGGGTTTTTACAAAATTTTTCATCAGACCAAGTTTGATATGGAGAGGAGGAAGTAAAATATTTTCTGAAGGAACTAGTGGTTCAGCTATTACGTTGTGACTGCCGATTGTGAATGTCTACCGAGATGGCCAGTCTTTCTGCTTATAGTAAAGACTATCTGCCCTACTATTCCATAGACATAAGAAGCAAGGGTATTTTGTGTACCCCCTTCCTTGCATCCCAAGTTGAAAGCGCACAACCTGAAAAAAAAAGATTTATTCATAAAAAATCAAATCTTAGTAAGTTAAAAAATATTTCTATTTTTTTCTAAAAGATGACCCACAAGTGCAAAAGTATTTTCAAATCAAAAAATTTATATTGAAGGTCACAAAATATTAGCCAATTGTGGTTTGAGTATTTGGTTGCATCAATTTATATTTTCATGTTCTTGTAGCTTTCTGTCAACTGAACTGAATGTCCAATAGGTACAGATGCCATTTTATTGCCAATGTGTGGGAATACTGTCTTTAGGCTTCTTCTAGAGGAATCAATAAAAAGCCTCCATTCTCTTGGTAAGTAAGGAACGCCAAGTGCCTCTATTAAGCCTTTTACATCATTGCAGTATGCCAACGAGCTAGAAGAATCAACTTTAAAGAACTTTCGAAACTTTTCTTCTCTGTTTCTATACCAATAGAAGATAATTTCGTTGAAGAGGAGATTGCTCTCACAAAGACGGGAACCAGAAGCAGTGAATTCTCTTCAGAAAGACCAAGATCTCAGGTCAAGTCATTCAATTGACTTTGAATAAGTGGTCTTGGCAAAATTATGCTAGACGTTGGCTCATATGTCTCAGATATGTCAGTGTCTTCCACTTTTACACCTTCCATATCCTCTTCTAGTTCGCCTTTCTTAGGTGGAGAAAGAACTGGAATGCCTGGACCATGTGGTACTGGCCTAATTGCAGAAAGAATATCAGGATAGTCCACCATGTGTTTGTTTTTCTTATTGACACCTGAAAAATTCACATATTTATATTTTCAGATTTTTTATTCACTTTTCTATACAATTTAAAGACTTTTTTTGAAAAACACAATTTGTATAAATAATTCAAACTTCATTTGACTATGAAAAAAAAATTTTGGATTAGTTAAATATTTACATTTTACGAAATTATCTTACCTTGAAGATTGGCCATACAAAAATAGCAGTCTGTAGTATGGTCCTTGCCTTCTCTCCATACCATCGGTACACCAAATGACATACAGTTTTGACGCTCTGTGTAATTAATTACGTTTCAAAAGCTAAATTTTTACATGCACTCTTACTTAAATTGTGATTCGCTTCATAAACATTTTGTTGTTTAGAGAAATACAGAAGGCAAAACGTGCGAATAGAATATAATGATATAAAGTCTAATTGCAAGTGAGTACCTTATAATATATATATACATACATTTATTTTTTAATTTGTTATTTAGGTGCCCCAAGAAGTCCTAACGGTCTTGTCACAGAGCACCGTGGAAGTGCATTAAACCAGGAAGTTCACGCCTCCTTCCTTACCGTGACGCCCAAAGCTCGTTTCGAACCTAGATCTCCTTATAAAGTAAGCGCTCTAACTATTGCGCCACGGCTGCCACATATTGACGTGCGAATAGAAAAAGACAGCTATTAATGAATACACTTGTCTATTCGCACGTTAGCGTTTTTTCGAAAATTAAAAAAAAAAAATTTAAATTGAATTGATTTTGAAATACATAATTAAAAATTTAAATTATTATTTTAGAACTTTTATTAATAAAACAGTTTAAGTTTTTTTTTCAAACGTGCGAATACACCTTAATTAGATATAGGTTATTCGCACGTAAAAAACGTACGAATAGACAAAAAAGTTTGCAAGTACGTGAAAATAGACTCATCCACTTTTAAATAGCTTGGCTTATGAGAGTTCAGAATGTTACTCTTTGTATTGAGAAGAGTTTTAAGCTGTGAGTCCGTCATCTATCATTATCAATCACTGTATTCTTTTTAATAACATTTATTGAGTAAACAATATTTTAAACTTAAAGATAAAGTTAGACTTAAGTTTAATTTACCATCAATAAAGAAATTAGTTAAAGGGGTCGTCCAAATACGACTTCACGTGATTAGGCGAGAGGTTGGTTTTGTCATGATTTTTCACAGGGAAAGGGTTAATCCGATTTTGTGACGCAACACTTTTTTTTTTAATTTTATATCTAGAAAAACATTTCTTTTGATTAAAGAGCGCCTAATGTACAAATTTGTTACGTAACTCTAGAGGGGCGGGGGATTAGTAAAGCGTCACAAGTTGTTAGAAGGGGGGAGAGGGGTCTAAAACAGTCAAAAATTGCGTGAGGTAATTTATGGACGACTATAATAATGCATTTAAAAGTTACCTTTTTTCAATAGGCATGCACTTACACAGATGTGTTTTATTTCAAACATTGTTTCATTTTTCATACTTAGTTTTGGATATACTTGTATAGTTGCTATAATAAGAAGATTATTAATTAAAATTGAATAAAAAAATTTATTATTAGGTGATTTAAAAAAAACCAAACAGTTGGAATAACCTTTTGTTGATAACTCAAGAATTCTATTAAAAATCATTTGCTTGAAAAACTCTATGGGTTTATCATCTGTGAATTCATTGCAATGAACAGTTGCTATTACTGAGATAATCTCTTGTCCAAATACAAGTGGTAGCGTATCAATTTCATAATCCACAGAAAATTTTAAGAAAGAATCAATGTAGATTTTTTGTACCTTAAAAAAAGATATATATATATATATATATATATATATATATATATATATATATATATATATATATATATATATATATATATATATATATATATATATATATATAGTCAAAATAATAGCAATTTTAGTTCTATAGTTCTTTTACTCGTTACATATATTTCCAGGGCCGCTAAGGTGGAGGGGGCAAAAGTGACAGTTTGTCCTGGGCGGCAAATATTCAAAGGACGCCAAATGAAAAAAAGGTACCTAAATAAAAAAAAAAGTCCTCCACTTATAATATAGGGAAATTTTGATAAATAAGGGCGCCAGTCAGGGTTGCTGTTCCAAGCGGTGTGACGGCTCTCGGCGGCCCTGTAACTTGCAATCTATTTTATAACAACTTTTTTTTTGTCACAATATTCCTTTTCATAAACCATGACATTCTTTTTTATAATAAAATCGTACTTCTTCTTTATTTATTTTTCAATATACTTTTCTTAAACTTATATAACTTAATAAAATCGCTGTCTAAAAAATTTTGATATGGAGCTACCAACCGGCTATAGATTTGTAGATATTTTGTAGCTAGCTACAAAGATATGATATGTAGCTAGCGACACATTGCTATATTATCGCAATGTTTAAAATTCAATTATTCTCATAATTGTAATAGGCTCAACACTAAAAATTGATTTTTTAAAGATATTAGAGATATTAAACGAAAATAAAATAAGAAAAAAAAATCGCTTACTGCACTTTTACTGAATGTCATCAACATTGATCACATTCAGTAAAAATGCTTTCAGTTTACTTTTATTTCATAACAGAATCACCATTATATATAACAGTGCCTTAGTGAGAACTATGTCATCATTATTTGTTTACTTGTCTTTCGTCTAATTTACCACGACTTCACATTCTCCGAGAGCACAAAAAACATTTGTATGAATTAACAGCAGACAGTCTGAAACAGATTTCTGATACACGATTGGCAAAACGAAGCATGAAATTGGTTCAGTTGTTGAACTTGTTCTCTCTGTTATTGGACTATTAGTTTTTGTAAAAAAATATTAGAATATAAACATGAAAACAAAGACATTAAGATACAGACATTTTATTTGCAAAAAAGTTACGAGAAATGTTAATGTTAAAAATCAATGTCACAAAAAAATAGCTTGTTTTTATGACGGTCTAATTGTGGCAATCCAATCTTTTATGATTAGATAATTGCATCAAGCTAGGTTTAATACTAGTTGCTGCGAGTGTTGTTTCGATTTATTGATTGTTATATATTGGAGCAATCAATTCAAAAGATTTGGAAACTGAAGGTGAGTCGTTATTGTTTTTAATTGTGCGGAGATGATTGTGATGAGTCAAAAACATTGAGAGAATATCTGAGCTTGAAAATCAGAAGCATTTTAAAAGAAACTGAAAAGCTATTTAAAAAACAAGAAAAAACTTTTACAAAAATAATGAGTTCTAACATAAAAATAATATCAGACAGAGTAGATAAACCAGAAAAAGATACTAGCGACATTAAAGATAGTATTAACTTTCATAAGGCAAACATCAACGAAATGGTTTCTCAACTAAATTTAAAGATCAATTAAGAAATAAATACTTTGAAAAAAAAATATGTAGATCTAGAAAATAGATCTCACCGCAATAGTTTAAGAGTTGATGGTGTTGCAGAACCGAAACGTGGAATGACTGCACAAGAGCAGTTAAAAAGATCTTTAAAAACCAGGTTAGAATTGCCGATAATATAGTGCTTGAGCGAGTCCATTGATATAGTGGTTGAGCAAGCCCGTCAAATAGGAAGAGTTAAAGACAAACTACCAAGAACTTTAGTCCTTAAACTCCTAAATTTATAATCATTAATTCAAAATTTTAACATCTTTGAAAAAACTTAAAGGTACTGGAACTTTTATTAATGAAGATTATGCGAAGAAACCCTGAAACTTTGTAAAAAAATTGTGGGAAGAAATTAAAAGGCATCGTAAAGAGGGTAAGTATGCAGTAATCAAATTTGATAAAATTTTGTTAAAGATATGCAAATAATTTTATTAAAATAACGTAATCGCGGAAATAAAAGGAGATCTCTCACAGGAATGGCGGAAATTAGCGATTTTTAGCACCAAGATTTTAGTTTTTCAAAAATGAAAACTTTAATAGATATAAATGTAGAAAAAGACCCTAATTATTCTCATGGTTTAAATAATGATTGCTTTACTATTATCCTAGTGAGATAGAAGGATCTCTTTTTAATTCCAATAACAGCGAACAAATTAAAATCCTTCATGTAGATATCTGAAGCATAAGTCACAAGACAAAAAAAGTGGTAGCTGTGCAATAATTCGCATAGAGCTGAAAATTGGTACATACCTTGAGTACATTATTACAAATAAGGTGTTAAAAGTCCCCATCGATCCCATATCTGCAAAAAAAAGTTATTGAAGGTCAAAGGTATAAAAAAAAAAGTTGTTGTTTTTTTTTTTAAAAAAAAAGGAAATGTTTAAGCATAAAAATAGATCATACAAATGCGAAGTGCATTTTAACTATAGATGTACAGGATATAATATCCGGCCGGATAATCCGGCAAAAGTTCCGGATAATCCGGTATCCGTTATCCGGCTGGATACATTATATATTCGGCCGGACATAGCCGTATATGTAATTTTTAAGATTACCTCTTATTCCACTTGTGTACATACTTTTAAAACAATTAGATATTAACTGTTTTGAGTATTTTTATTAATAAAAAAAAAATTAAGTATTATAGTAAAATAATATACCATAGTATATTATTTCACTATAATAGTAATCGCACAAATTTAACTTTTGAATAAATGAACATTTGATCATTATTTCTCACTAATTTTGCACTATAATTCACTAAACACTTCTAAATTTTGGAAAAAGAAAAAAAGAGACGAAAACTTTTCAAGAAGAAAGTAAAGGCTTTATTACAAATAAAAATAACAGTTACAATAACTTAAAAATGTATGAGTATAATATATTATACTTTATATATATATATATATATATATATATATATATATATATATATATATATATATATATATATATATATATATATATATATATATATATATATATATAATATATATATATATATATATATATATATATATATATATATATATATATATATATATATATATATATATATATATATATATATATATATATATATATATATATACATACATAAAATAAGCTACATTTACTATAGATAAAATGTTAACTTTTATACAAAAGCTAACATTTTTTAAGTATATATATATATATATATATATATATATATATATATATATATATATATATACATACATAAAATAAGCTACATTTACTATAGATAAAATGTTAACTTTTATACAAAAGCTAACATTTTTTAAGTTAGTTATTTTCAAACTTAGCCGTATATAACTATAGTAAATGTAGTTGTATAAATGTATTTTAGGGGAAAGTCGGGTAGCCCCGGACGGCGGGTAACTCTGGACACTTGATGTACAGCTTAAACTAAACAAGCTATATGACTTTTAATACTATAATATCATTATTTGAGTGAAAATATGGCATATGCAAAATATCTATCATAATATGCTGAAGCGAATGGTTGGGAGGGCAAGATATTGTTTCCCATCACCAGAAGAGCAAAGTATCATCATATTAGATTCACATATTAATATACCTAATTGTTATATAAACTAATAACTTTTTAATGATTAAAGATGCATTTTTATTTACAATAGTTATTAAAAAAAAGTTTGTTTAAAACTTTAATTTAATGGTTTTAAAACTAGTATTTGTGAATGAGGTATGATCGGGTGGTATCGGACATATGATTGGAGGGTGGCTCCGGACAACTTAATTCGTTTACATAATAATAATAAACAACTTTTTTATATAAATATTAATATATTTAATATAATACACAAACCTATAACAGTAATTCATTTAATTCCAATAAAAAAACATTAGATTTGAAAAAAGTGTTTTTAAAGGGTTTATTTCCATTATAAAAAAACCTATGTTTATATTTTTAAATGACGACATTTTCATTCTCATTCTTTATATATCGGTGGCAATTTTTAAAGGCGATTTTTTTTAAAAATGTGTCGAGAACAATCCAATGCTAAATTATTATATATTATATTTGTGTCACACTGGTAAATAAAGAGAAAAAATCATGTTTAAACTAAGTGTCCGGGGCTACCCTCCAATTTTGAAACATGCCGTGTTTCTAACATTTTTTCTTTTACGTTTTTTATATTATTAAGATACATAATAATAATTTTTTTTTGTTTCTAATTCAATAGATGAACGATTGAACTTTTAAAAAAAGTCTTTTGACACTTTGTTTTATGTTAGCACATGTGTACAATCTATATTTTCTTGAAGTATCCGGGGCTACCCGACTCTCCCCTATGTAGTTTTAGTAGTTACTAAATGTTTAAATCTCAATAACTATTTATTACATAAAAATAGCGTAAGCGGCCGTCCATAAAGTCTATTTATGACTCCTCTGTCCTTGTGTGACGCCCTATTGTCTCTTTTTCCCCTTGTTATCTTGACCTTCCTCTTTCCCCGTTTTGCGTAACATTATTTATTGATGTAATATTTGCAACCTAAAGCTCATTAAAATCTTAAAAATAATTGTTCCAAATAAAAAGTTTTATATTTAGCTTAACTGTAACTAAAGTAACCTACGCTGTGTAACTAAAGTAGCGCACGCTACTTTAGTTAGACAGGCCCGTAGAAACCTGGTGGGCAGCACCCCCTCCCCCAATAATTCATTTTTCAAATGAATAATTTTTATTTTTTACAACATTTGACACATCAAGTATGTTCGGCATATCCGGCCGGATATATAAATTTATATCCGGTCGGATATGTAAAAAATCATATCCGGTACACCTCTAATTTTAACGCCTTTTTGAATAAACTGTTTCAGCGGCTTTTCTTTGATCTTGTATAAGAACAATGAAAAATGCTTT